TATATGAGAACTCAAGAACGGAGAACATCGAACCAAAATCTCAACCCCAATTAGTAAAATCTGACAGTATGGAGGCCAGACCTCGAACAGGATGCTCACCAAAAGTACCCAAGTAACCAATCACAAGTATCAAGTAACTGAGGCCGAACCTCTAACCGGATGCTCTATACAAGTATTTGGGCGATAGAGGCCGAACCTTAAACCAGATGCTCTATATAAGTATCTGGGCGATAGAGGTCGGACCTTAAACCAGATGCTCTATATAAGTATCTGGGAGATAAAGGCCGGACCTTAAACCGGATGCTCTATAAAGGTGCCACTGTAGCTGTTGAAAGAGTCCCAATCGATCCATGCTCATAAATGTCCGTGGAATGCCGTCCAAACTTAGCCAATCAATGTAAGTCCTTGGAACATAATCAAAAATCAAATTCGAATCGCGAAGCAGAACTAGTGTCGCCGACGTAACTCGTAAAGCTATGACGTCGGGGAAAAATATGGATAGTTATAGTCGGAGCAAGCGTATCGCCTAACTAAGGCCCAAACTATCAGACTCAAGTCTGTTACACCAGTCTACAGGGATCTAAGTCGGTCGAGCGACATCGGGGTAAAACTAAGGCCTATCGATTCCGAATCATGCATTTCTAAGGCAAGCCCTAGTCAAACCAAAACTAAGGCCCAACATGATTCAAATAAAGAGTAATTAAGCATACAAGCACTCCACATAGCGAGGAGGGTCAATTAGTAACACATAGCATGCTCACAGTTACCCGATGATTCCCAAAAGAGGCAGAAACATGATATCTAAACACCTATGCATGATTCAATAACTACTCAACCCAAATTCCAACTAATCAACATGCATCCATATTCTCAAGTTCAATCTAGGAGTGGAAAACCATAGCCTACCTGTAGGCCGATCACGCGCGCTCCAAAAATCACTTTTCCAGAGCTTTCCCTTTCCGAACGGCCACGAAAGGCTGACACACTATCAAAAATAGAGTCACAACGTTATTACGGTCATTTAGATACTAAAATCATAAGAAACGGAGATGGACCAATTTTGGGGTCAAAACGGGAAAAGTGGGACCCGCGCTGAAAATTCTGAAATTAACCCCAAAAATAGGTTCTTAAACACCTCCCCGAACTTGTGTAACACAATTCGGGGCACGAGACAGTCCCAACACGAACAAGCAACGAAAAACCCAAATCACACTAAAAAGGAACAACAATAGCAGCAGCTATTTACAAGAAAATACCAGAAACGAGGGTCCAGATGCTGAAACCAATCACACCACAACGATCCTCACAAAAAACCCCTCAATCTAGGCTCTTGAATCACCAGATTCGGACCTAAAATGACCAAGAAATCATCTTCTCAAATTTCCAAAAAAATTGAGCTCGAAATGAGCTAAGACAGCAGCTAAAACACAACTTTTTACCTCCAACAAAGCTTTAAATACGAAATCTAAATACGCCAACGCGTTCTCCTCGAAAAGTCACTCAAGTTAACCTCTTAAATCGCCCAAATCGGACCTCTATAGCTCAAGGTATCACACTTTTAAAATGAGGAATAAAGCTAAGTTGGGGTTTTATAAGGGCGACATTGGTCGCTAAAGAGCCCACAAATATGGTCGTTAAAAGCCCAAAATCTGGTCGCTAAAGAGCTGCACCAGATTTCAGCTTTGGCTATATTCTTCAAAGTCTCCGACGGGGTGCTCAGAATTCGTTCGGAACCCGATAAAAATAAAACATATATGCTACCATACTAAAATCGACATTCCGGACTCAACAGCGCAATCAAAATTTTCATCAGAGGTCATCTCGATAAAAAGTGGGTCCCAGTTCCAAAAAAACATTTTAACCAAAATCCACTAAGGGGCTCGGAATGAGTCCGGAGGCCTCGGGAGTTGAACGAAAGGTCGTTCTATACCAAACTCAATATTTCGGAGCTAACCACACTGACAGAACTTTCATTCGAGCGCGTTTTCCAAGAATGTTGATCAAAGTCAACCTTAGGCCAAATTTCAAAGGCTAAAATGTCTAATGGTCCAAACTCTCATCGAAGGCCTCGATACTCGTGCCAACTATGGGACAAGCCTAATTTGGCCATTACGGAGCTGATGGAACTGTCAGAATTCTATTCTGAGGTCATCTTCTTGAAATATTGATCGAAAATGATCGTTCAAGGTTCATAAGCTTCAAAACACTAAAACTCGCACCATAACCAAACGAACGACCAGGTGACCGAACTGTCAGTCCCAACAAGTCATAAATGACTTGGGGTCGCTACAGGAACGCTCTAAACGACATACAGAAATGACAAGGAGGGTCATTACAATATCCACTACTAAAAAGGACTTTCGTCCGCGAAAGAAAGGATAAGGATATATCTGAGGGCTCAAATCAATCTTAGAAAACATGGCGGCACCCTAAAATTGATCAAACAAGTCATCAATACGAGGCATGGGGCAACGGTTCTTCACTGTCACCTTGTTCAGCTACATGTAGTCAATGCATATCCTCATAGTCGCGTCCTTCTTCTTCACAAACAGAATATGAGCACCCCAAAGCGACACACTCGGACGGATGAACTCCTTACCTAAGAGGTCCTCTACCTGAAGAATGAGCTCCTAAGCTCTGCAGGAGCCATTCGGTAAGGCGGAATAGAAATAGGACGGGTGTTGGGCTCCAAATCTATGGCAAAATCAATGTCACGCTCTGGGGTAGGCCAGGTAGATCTGTAGGGAACACATCTGCAAACTCTCTAACCACAGGAACTGAGGTTGAAGGGCTCTCCCTACTCACATTTCTCATATAGGCCAAATAAGCTAAACACCCAGAAGCAACCAACCGTCTAGCCCGTATAAAAGAGATGATCTCCGTCGGTGTGTGACTATAAGCACCTTGCCACAACACTGGGGGAGTGCCAGGCATGGCTAAAGTAACAGTCTTGGCGTAGCAATCCAAGACCGCATGGTAGGGGGATAACCAGTCCATACCCAGAATCACATCAAAATCAACCATATCTAGCAAAATAAGATCAACTCTAGTATCATAACCCTGGATAGTCACTAAGCAAGATCGCAATACCTGATCCACTACTAAGGACTCACCCACCGGGGTCGAAACATGAACCGGCTCTACCAAAGACTCAGACCTCATACCCAATAGGGGAGCAAAATAAACAGATACATATGAGAACGTGGACCCATGATCAAATAATATTGTAGCAGGCTGATGGCATAATAAAAGTGTACTTGTGATGACATCGTTAGATGTGTTAGTCGCTGCCCTCGCCAGGGCTTTCCCTTTTCGAATGGCCTCGAAACGCTGACACACTATCAAAAATAGAGTAAAAACGTTATTACGGTCGTTTAGACACTAAAATCGCAAGAAACGGAGACGGACTAATTTTGGGGTCAAAACGGAAAAAGTGGGACCCGCGCTGAAAATTCCAGAATTAAACCCTAAAATAGGTTCTTAAACACCTCCCCGAACTTGTGTAACACAATTCGGGGTTCAAGACAGTCCCAACAAGAACAAGCAACGAAAAACCCAAATCACACTAAAAAGGAACAACAATAGCAGCAGCTATTTACAAGAAAATACCAGAAACGAGGGTCCAGATGCTGAAACCAATCACACCACGACGATCCTCACGAAAAACCCCACAATCTAGGCTCTTACATCACCAGATTCGGACCTAAACTGACCAAGAAATCATCTTCTCAAATTTCCAAAAAAATTGAGCTCGAAATGAGCTAAGACAGCAGCTACAACACAAATTTTTACCTCCAACAAAGCTTTAAATATGAAATCTAACCACGCCAACGCGTTCTCCTCGAAAAGTCACTCAAGTTAGCCTCTTGAATCGCCCAAATTGGACCTCTATAGCTCAAGGTATCACACTTTTAAAATGAGGAATAAAGCTAAGTTGGGGTTTTATAAGGGCGACACTGGTCGCTAAAGAGCCCACAAATATGGTCGTTAAAAGCCCAAAATCTGGTCGCTAAAGAGCTGCACCAGATTTCAGCTTTGGCTATATTCTTCAGAGTCTCCGACGGGGTGCTCGGAATCCGTTCGGAACCTGATAAAAACAAAACAGATATGCTACCCTACTAAATCGACATTTGAGACTCAACAGCGCAGTCGAAATTTAAATCAGAGGTCATCTCGATAAAAAGTGGGTCCCACTTCCAAAAAAACATGTTTACCAAAATCCACCGAGGGGCTCGGAATGAGTCCGGAGGCCTCAGGAGTCGAACGAAAGGTCGTGCTAGACCAAAATCAACATTCCGGAGCTAATCGCGCTGACGAAATTTTCATCCGAGCGCGTTTTCCAAGAATGTTGACCAAAGTCAACCTTAGGCCAAATTTCAAAGGCTAAAACGTCTAATGATCCAAACTCGCATCGAAGGCCTCTATACTCATGTCAACTATGCTACTAGCCTAATTTGGCCATTTCGGAGCTGATAGAACCATCAGCATTCTATTCTGAGGTCGTCTTCTTGAACTATTGATCGAAAATGATCGTTCAAAATTCATAAGTTCCAAAACATTTAAACTCGCATCATAACCAAATGAACGACCAGGTGACTGAACTGTCAGTCCCACAGCAAGTCATAAATGACTTGGGGTCGTTACAAGAACGCTCTAAACGACACACAGAAGGCAAGATACAGAAATGACCAGGAAGGTCATTACACATTATCATCATCATCGTCATTATCATTATCATTATCATATCATATATCAGTCAGTAAATCATAGACAATCACACTAAAATGAATAAATTTATGTGAAAAAAACATTTTTTTGTTATGTGGGGTGGGGCGGGTCGAAATCAGAAAAATTTACCATGCGGGGCAGGGCGGCTTAAATTATTGCGGGGTAAAGCTCAACCCGCGCCACCCCATTGCCATCATTAACTATTAGATATAAACCTCGGCAAATACCATAATTTAATAATGAAAAGGACAAACAATTTAAGAGTTGAATACATATTATATACATTTGGAATTTACAGATATCTTCAAAGCTCGCAAGATGTAAATGAATGCATGAGATTCCTATGTTCCATACTTTTTACCCATGGGAATATATTACATCTATCGGTAGCATTTATCTACTACACCCAATGAGTCTGATATCAAGAGTTTATTATCTGCCAGCAACTAAAACACAACCTTAGCCTAAAATTTTATATAAAAATGTACAAATGAGGTGCGCGCATGCTTCAAAGTATTCTCAGCTCCCATCGGAAAAGGTATCACTGCCATCTTCAACTTTGGAGAGAGAGAAAGGAGCGATGGAAACATTGAATGTCCGTGAGCCGACTCTGTCAATATGCTTCATCTCGAAGTCACCCTCCTGTATAGTAATAGACAATCACACATGATGCACTTTAGAAATGGAAGGAACAAAGAAAGAAAGGAAGGGCCCCGAGAATTTGCGTGGAGTCTCCAAAATACTTTCCACCTGTATCGATACGACATAGGGGTAGGTGTGGGATCCACACCACATCTTGGGTGCTTTGACTACATGTATGACTGAGAAATACAAATTGATTGGGTAATTTGATTTGGTTTTGTAGGTTTACATCTACAAATATTATGTAGTTATATAAAGTATGAGAATGTTATGCTATTACACGAGATGTCTAATGAATACAATATTAGGCATTTATAAAGAACTAAATTTACCAGCTTTTGTTCAATAACTTCAATTTATCAAAATATATGCTTTATATGTCATACTATACATTTATTGGCCTTATCTAGCACCCTTATCCTAACCCCCGAATCCTAAAAGTTATGCGATGAAGAGTCCGACCTCTAGATCCGCACCCGTATTCAGTACCCACACCCGAGTCTGAGCAACATAGCCCAGAAGGTAAGGAATTCCTGAAACAGAACAATTGACACCTATTGACTGCACGTGAAGGTCAAAAAGAAGACACAAAGAGACCTTGCAAGTTTTGTCGCCCTCAAAGCCCAACCAGTAAATGCATTTTTTATTTGCCAGAAAATAAGAAGGATCTAATAGTATACCCTCCAAAATATTAGGAGTATCAGTCTATTAGAAGTTATCAAAGGACAAAATTGAGTAGATTCTGCTAGTTTTCAACTACTTGGCACCTCAGAAAACCCTTTCCAAATTAAATCCTGATAACCATGCAATTGAATTTTTTTTCTCTTCCCAGTTCCAAATATTGATCTTCAATTTAAACAAGTGTATCAAATAAAACTTAATTCAGAAAAAGCAATAAACAGAAATATGACAATTAGTGTAGGTAAGCTATGTAAAGCTATTATGACAATCAACAATTTGTGAAGAAAAATAGTTTGAAAATTCAGCAGTTAGCAATTGTTTTCCAGAATGCATAGCAGGTCCTGATTTTATAAGATAGAATGTACTAAATTCATATTCTTATTGTTTTCTCACTGCTAACTTCCTCCTCTAGAGTTGAAGAGAAGGAACAGAAGAGTGTGTGTGTGCGCATGCGTGCGTATGCATGCATTTGTGCGTAGGATAAGCAAATCATGACTTTCTTCTTCCTCATGATGGACCTATAAGAGGGAGTACATGTCAAGTATCAGTTTTTTAGTCATGTCTTCAATTTTCTGTATGTACAATGCAACTTTGATAGTAAAAATTCATTTCAGCTGGAGACTACATTCAGATGTTTGGGGCAGTGTAAGTGATCAAATGGTAGTAACTAATATCAGGGGAGAAAACTTTGCACAGAGTTCTACTACTATTAATGGGTTACTTCAAGTGTGTGTGAGTGGTAAAGATAAAGCATGCACAAGTGCTAACCTGAGTTCAACTGAAATGGTTCCAATTTGTTTCATTTGTATTATTACATACGACTCTATTATAAACTGTAAGACTTAATCGTACAGCTACACTTGAGGGCATAGTCTAAACCTCTAAAAACTGCTATCCTTCATTACTTTATTTTCCTGGAATATTAGGGGGCCAAACGCCCTCTAAGAAATTAGAGCCCAGAGTCATATACAGTCACAGCACAATGATATCTTTGTGAGTGGGTGCAATTACATATCGATCTCAGCATTAAAATGCCACAGAAAAACGAAAATGAGGAAGAAGTAGCATTTCATGAAGGAAAGATCAGGGAAAACAAATTAGTTTCTTACCATTCTTCCACTTGGAGTTCCTAATGGGCATGCAGATGAGTATTCAAAAGCAGTGTTGGGAAGTACCACCGGTTGTTCACCAATTACACCAATTCCCCTTTCAGAATAAATGATAACAATGTTTAGCCCAAATTTAAAAAGAAAAGAATCAAATGGCCACCAAATGGACTGATGACAACATAAAGTTACAAAAACGAGGACATGTATAAATTTAACATAAACAATATTGTCTACCACAACTGTGCCAAAACAGAAAAGTTAGCAACTCACCAGACATTTTCCGTTTTTCCATTAGCATCAGTGATGATCCAGTGCCTTCTAAGAAGTTGAGCAGGACGATCTGAGTTGTTGGTAATTCTTATTCTATAAGCAAAAAAATAAAGGCCTTTTGAAGGTTGACTTCGACCTTCTATGTACACACTTCTAACTTGAACCCTGATTCCCTAGACAAAGCAATGTTGAGCAGATATTTCAGACAGTGCAGAACATCTCAGCTTCAACAAACTTAGGTAAAGTCTCCTTATGAGCTGTTTAGGCTTCAAACAAATTATCGTGATGTCTGATTATGAGCTGATAACAAAAATTAACCATCAATCAATCATATGAAAAACTGATAGGAGTCAGGCCAGCCCTTTATTTAGACCCTAAAAACTTATATTACAGAGGCCGATAGATTTAATGTGAAAGACATAAAATTTCTTCTTTTTTTTTTTTGAAACTGGTAATTTCTCCTATTTCTTTCTCTCCGTACAGTCCACCAGATGCGAGGAGGTATTACTCTCCACCACCTTTTCTGAGTTTTACTCCCACCCTTCCTAATCCAGTAACTAAAGGTATGCTTTGGCATGATCCATCTTGTATTAGTTTGGTTGAGGAATATTTCCCAAAGTTAGGCAGTAAACTCACAATGAAGAAACAGATATTAGTTGGTTTCCACTGTTTTGTTGCAAAGAAAGCATCTGGGAAGTGAGAACTAACTGTATCCCTTTCTTTGGTAATACTTCTTGAGTGCGACAAGCTTTCATTATCACTAACCATGAGAAGCATTTCATCTTAGCGCATACTAAGCTTTTCCAAGTGAAATTCCATCTGTATTGTGGTCTTCCAGATACACCTTGTATCCATATCCTGTATGCATTGCTCCTTTCTATGCATTCATAAAACCCTATCTGATTCTGCTGTGGTACCACTAGAACCCCCTAGTTTCTCAAGTAGTGAAGGCACATTTTCCACCTCCCAATTGTTTAGCATTCTTTTAAAGGAAAGATCCCATCCTTGAGGTGTCAAACGTTCACACACTGTTAGAACTTATGAACAGATCTGGAAATGATTCCATCAGAGGAGTTTGGTTACTTCATCCTTCTTTCTAGAATTTAATTTTGTGCCCGTCTTGACTATCAGATTTGATTCCACCAGTGCCACAAAGCCCTGTACTGATAGTTCTCCATACCCCAACTCCAAAAGGTTCAGTGACTCTTTCTGTGCATCAGGGGCTCAGCTCACCAAACTTTGCCACGATCACTTTCTTCATGAGGACATTTTCCTCCCCATTATATCTTCATCAGAAGACAGTTGTTTTGTAGTCTTAGATTTCTGATTCCCAATCCACCCCTTTGCTAAGTATTACTGTATCCCACTTCACCAAACAATACCCCTCCCCTTCTTTGCAGCCTTGCCATAGAAATTTTCTCCTTAGCTTGTCAAATTTGTCACAATTATGGATGAATTAGGAAACAAGGGCATCACATTTGTAAGAAAGGAGTCTAGCATATAGTTGATCAGAGTAAAGTTTCCCCCAAGTGATAAGTATTGGGCCTTCCACCATGCTAGCTTCTTCTCAGTTTTTCCTAGTATGCCATCCCAGATCTCGAGTGCCTTATGCTTCCTACCTAATGGCATGCCAAGATAAATTGTTGGCAAATTCTCCACTACGCAGCCTAGTATGCTTGCAGGTTCTTTAATATGAGGGACTTCTTTGACAGGGAATAGACTGTTTTTACTCCAGTTAACCCTCAACCCAGTAACAACTTCAAAGACCATCAACATTAATCTAATATAACAGATCTGTTCAGCCTTTGGTTCACAAAAGATGACAGCGTCGTTTGCATAAAGAAGATGGGTAATCTCCACTTCCTCCCAACCTCTTCCACTAATTTGAAATCCCTTGAACCATCTGTTATGTAGTGCAATGGTCATCATGCCATCAAAACCTTTCATTGCCAGAATAAACAGGAAATGAGATAGATTATCACCCTGTCTCAACCCCCTCTCACATGGAGAGTAAAAAATCCACAGGTTCTCCATTTACGAGAACATAGAATCTTACAGTTTTAATACAACACTCAATCTAGCTCAACCAATTACTGTCAAATCCCATCTGTCTAAGGATACTACATAAGAATTCCAAAAATACATGGCCATTGGCTTTCTGAATATCAAGTTTGCACATTACCCCAGGTTCCACACCTCTCGTTCTTGAATCTACACATTCACTGGCTATGAGTGTAGCATCAATAACCTGTCTCCCTTTAATGAAATCCATATGATGTTTGTTCATCACTTTGCTCACCACGTTCTTCAGCCTTTCTGCCAGTAGTTTTGCAATAATTTCGTCAACTCCACCTACCAGACTTATTGGTCTGTAATCTTACAGATCAACTGCACCTATCTTATTAGGGATCAAAGCTATAATGGTGGCATTGAAGCTTCTTTCAAAAACTTGGTTGGAGTGAAAGAACTGTACAGTTGTTATGATATCTTCCTTCAACATTTCCCACCAAAGAAAGAAAACCATTGGAACTCCATCTGGTCCAGCAGCTTTCTCCATAGCACAGAATTTTAATACAAGTAAGAATCTCCTCCTCCTCAAATTGTCTTCGTAGTCATTCCTGTTCTTCACTAGATATCACTGATGTATCACGTCGATGCAGCTCTGGTCTCCAAGATTTAGTTTCTTTGTACAGGTGTTTGTAAGAATTCTGAGCAATTTCCTTGATATCCTTAGGATTAGTAATAGTGACCCCATCTACTTCTAAAACATTAATGAAATTAATTCCCTTATCAGCAGTAGCAATTCTGTGAAAAAATTTAGTGTTGTTATCACCATATTTCACCCATTGTAACCTGGACTTCTTCCATGCTATTTCTTCATTTTTTGCTACCTCCTCAAATTCCAAGGCCAAATTTTGTTTTCTTAAGTAACTCATTATCAGTGAAAGTTCTTTGTTCTTGAATAGCTTTCAATCTACAAATCTTATAAGTCATTATCAGTGAGAGTTCTTTGTTCTTGAATAGCTTCCAATCTACAAATCTTATTAAGAATGTTCACCTTCCACTGCTTCCAATTTTCTCAGTTGTCTTGCTCCACTCCTTTAGCTTTGTTTGTAACAGTTTCAGCGTCTCAGCTAAAACAAGTACAGGTCTACCATTAACATTGAAGGAACCCCACAATCCATTCACTTTGTCTTTGATTTCTTCAACTTCCAATCACCAAGCTTAAAACATGAAGTAAGATTTCTTCAATCCCCATCCCCATAAGTTAACAGAATAGAATTGTGATCTGATCCTATTTTTTAGGCAAAAGCCAAAAGGCTCTGTTTGATGTGACTAAATTCCTCGTCCAATTGTGCAAAATGAAGGAATTTGTCTATCCTAGAAGGACTCCAGTGATTATCCCTCCTCCTCCAAGTGAAAGATCCTCCAATAGAGGAGGATCAACCAGTTCTAGATTTTCAATGCAAGAAGAGAACTCCGCAATAGCACCATTTATCCCGTTGCAATATGTTCTTTCTACAGAATATCTGATGAAACAGCCATTCAGGGTCCACTAAAGTATTTTTTGATAATGGTCAGTTCTTCTCATAGCCCATTCCTGCTCTCTCTATAGCGATTTGCAAATACTGCATTGAGATGCCAGCTAAAATCAACAATGATTCCGGAGAACCTCCTAGTGATACGTTGAGTTCTACATCATTCTCCTCTCCAAACTATCTTATCCCAAAGAATTAGAATTCCTCCAGTACTCCCAACTTCCTCCTTATGAATTTTCTTCATTTCCAACCCACATTCATCCCCTATATTTTTCAAGTTCTCCATATTCCATAACTGAAGAGGGAGACCAAGAGCTCTAACCCAAAACCAGACGAAGAAAGTGTCTTCAAGGAATCTACCTTTGTTGGCGACCACCAATCCACCTTTAGGTAAGAGCCTTGTCTCTACCATTCACCCATGAGAACATCTTGAATCCCTTACCTTGACTAGAACTCAAACAGGAACTGAAATTCATTCATGTTGTAGACTTGTGTGTTCAAAGCTCCCTTTCCATGAGTGTTGAGCCTGACTACGTGCATCATTTCAAGTGGGTATCTCATCACACTCGCATGATATGCCAACTAAGCATCTTCGCAGTAACTTGTTGGTTTCTTTGTTGGGATTTGTATTTAGCATCTTTCCTTCCTTGACATTCTCGTTCCCTTGTTGGCTCCATCTACTTTGGTTGAAAGCTTCTATGTAATTTCCTTTTCCTGTGAAAGTTTTACTAGTTTTCTCCCCAACTGTAACAAATGTCCTTATTGTTCACTTTTCAGTTGATGAATTCATCCATCTTTGAAGCTATATTTCCCCAACCTTCATTAAAGTTATTTTCTAGTGTAATAATGATTGACATGCTCTGCCCTTTAACTGTACGAACTAAAATAAATCAACCATATTGATTGAACTTTTGGGTACAATAAATAATAGTAGAGAGATCCCTGCATCTCCAGGATTTGAAATTCTCCCTCTGTTGGTTGGAGCTTCCTATAGCCTTACTCAACACTTGCTGTTAGGTTTGGTCACATTCAAACTCTCATGTTTTTCTCTCTCCACCTCACAACCAGCTCTCTTCTTTATTCTGACACCTCAGAAATTCTAAGGCCAGATCAGACCATACCTAACAGATCATGAGAAGTTGATTAAATTTTTTGCAGCAAAACTTTGGGATTTATGGACGCCATCTACGGGCTGTAAAAGGAACCACGGACCATAGAATATGTTCGTAAATCAACTTCAGAGACTTGGTTTTCAATTCGAGTTTTCAAGAGCTCAAATCACGGGTCGTAGATCAAACTACGGAACGTGGATTGAACTCGTGGAATAATGTGCAGGAAAACATAGCTACTATTTCTACTGCCTAGCATTTACAGATCCGTTCTACGGACCTGATGGAACCACTGGCCACAGAATGGTCTCATAGTTTGAACTTTAAAGACTGTTAATATTGATTGGTTTCATGGACGGCATTTACAGACCCTGGATGGAACCACAGACTGTAGCTGACCTTCGTGGATTGCTCCGATAGTTTTCCTTTCAGAGTTGTTTTAGTCTTTTCCCAATCTTTTAACTCCTAAACTATGTTGTTTTGGCCTATTCTAAGTGGGTTAAATGGGATTCAGTCAATCCAAACTCCCTCAACACTCTCCTACAAAGACAAAGAAGAGCACACTTGCTCAACACCCTCCTTCTGAACGAGAGCTTGGCACTTTATACCAAGTCAAACCATCTTCTGGACTCTGCAATAGTTTCTGTGATGTCATAGGATTTACCACTATATCTGAAATAGAGTCTGTTCTACATGATTAAGATGGATCCCCTGAAAAGAGGTTAGTATCACAAAAGGAGAAGAAAGGTTGTAAAATTATCACAGAAGGTGATAGCTTAAGAGGAAGGATCAATAAAAGATGTTTTCCAGCAGAAAAGCCACCAGAGAATGTGATTTCTCTTTCCTAAATGTAGGAGAAAGAAAACCTTGGAGACTGTGCCTGAGAGCATTTTCTTACACTTATTGTTTTGTTGGTTACTCTTCCATGTGTATCTCAAGTCACATAAGCACATTGAGGGAACGATCTAGAAAGATTGAGATAATCAGGGTTATATAGCATTTCAAAATTTTCTTAATTAAGACCCAACAATAGGAAGATCTTAAACAACATCTGCATTATATGTAGCATATCTTTTCTTTTGTTTTGTAGGGGAAAAGGGGTCCAGAAACTGTTAAGAGGCGTAACAACAGCCGGTGTGCATGAATATGTGGAACATAATGAGCCTTGTATGAAAAATCCAATCATTTTGTTCTTCCCCACATTTTTGTCCTTTAAGTATAGAATGCCACTTATGTGAAAATTCATTATTCAAAACAGCTCCATAACTAGCAATGCAAAATATTTTGGTAAAGTATCAATCCAACTGGTAATAGAAAGTGAAATAGAAGCATGACAATTCCAGATTAAATACATACCAGTGTTGTTGCCTCACTTGAACATTTCAAGAGAGAATGCGGAGCAATATCCTTTAACTCATCGCGGTACCTCGCTGCATCCTGGGAAGACATAGAGAGAGAAAGGGTGAAACTGAGATGATGAGTAGCTGATGTAGAACTAGCAGAGAGATGAGGAAGTTTAAACATGTCTACCTCAAACCTCTCTTGTGCAATAGCCTCTTTGACCAATCTCTGAAGGCGCAAAACAGGCTCTTGGTCCTCAAATATTTTCAAAGAATCACGAAGTCTGGCTGCCTCTTTGTAGTCCTACATATATATATATATTCAAGTGAGGATATGAAGGAAGAAAAGAAACAGTATTAATAATGCATTTTGAAAAGAGTGGTGACCTCAGATTTGGCGGCGACATCCATTTGCTGTTTCAAAAGAGCATAGGTCTGGCTACGGGAAAGGAAGGAACTCTGACTGGGAGTAGAACCATCAGAAACACACGCCATAATTTTAACATTTCCCATCTGAATCTGTTGCCTACTTACATCTCCTATCGGCCATGACAATTTCATTCCAACATTTAAACTAAAACTACTCATTCTTCCTTCCTTCCTTCCTTCCTTCCTTCACAACAGTATCCTTTTTCTCAATCAATACTCTTATCTCTATCTCTATCTCTTCCCAATTAAATTATGTCCATTCCTTCTTCTCCTTCTCCTTCTCCTTCTCCTTCTCCAATGTCGGAATTTACGCCCTGCTATTCAATTGGATAAATATCATTTCTTAACTTATTGGCCACAAAATATCCCTTTATTAAGAAAATGATCAAAATGGTCCTTAATGTATGGGCTTTGATTTCATTTGGTTCCTTAATGTATGAACTTGATGGAAATGGTCCTTTATGTATCATAAATTGTGATCAATTTGGTCCTTAACCCTAAAATTTTAATGGCTGCGATTATTTTTAAAAAAAAAATTAACTAAAATCGCTATACGTGGAGCGATTTCCCATTATTTTTTAAGCAGTCCTCGCCTCGGGAATTTTTAATAAAATTTTTTTTAACTTTTTTAAGAAAATGGTTATTATAGCAGCAATTTCTATTTTTTAAACGCTGCTGGGGCAGCGTTGTTAAAAAAAAAATTCACAGCAGCGATTTTAAAGAAAAAAGATTATTTTTTTTGGACTGGTAGCGATTTTTATGTTTTTTAAAGGTGTAACACCGTCAATTTTGTCAGAAGAAAATCGTTCCGTCAGAAGCGATTTTGCCCTTTTGGTTAAAAAAAATTGATGTGCCATTTTGGAATTTTTGGAAACAGGGGAAGGAAAGTCTTGAACGAGCGCATCTTTTACATATTCCGTGTATTTTGATGGCAAAATAAAATAAAATATTAATTTTAGGGTTAAGGACCAAATTGATCACATTTTATGATACATAAAGGACCATTTCCATCAAGTTCATACATTAAGGACCAAATGGAATCAAAGCCATACATTAAGGACCATTTTGATCATTTTCTCTCCCTTTATTACCCTTATCACAAACTACCCCTTTATTACCCTTGTCACAAACTACTAATTTACTAGTCTTCTCATTTAATATGTGGCCACATTCTCATTAGTTAGAAAATATAATTAATAAAAACTAATTTGATCCAACCCAAATCAGAATCCACCCATCAAACCACTCGACCGAATCTAAAACCTCATTAGTGGGTCGGATGATATAGTGGGTGGATTCAAGTTTGGGTTGGATCAAATTAGTTTTGATTAATTAGTTTTTTCTAACGAATCAGAATGTGTCACATATTAAATGAGAAGGCTAATTAATCCAACTAATGAGATTGTTTGCAATAAGGATGATAAAGAGCCATAAAGGTTGACGTCAAGCATATTTTGTGGCCAATAGGTCAATGATGGATAATTTTGTACTAATTCCAGTCGTTTAAGGGTATTTTAAGCCATTTTCCGAAAAGAAAATATCTAATGAACAATTAACCAAAATAAAGAGTAGATTTATATGAAATTGATCTAGAGCTCTAAATTCGCTTGCAATCATGTTGAGTAATCACTTGATCTGGCTATATTTTCTAGTGTGAAAATAAGTAAAGATGTACTTATTGAGTATCATGTCAATAACTTTAAAACTACTCGACTATTTCTAACGCTCATATATTTATGGGCCTCATTCGATAGTGAACTGCATGTATATTTCTTCTGTATCAACTAAGAAAGACTGACGAGTATATTTCTATTCACTTTAGCGAGTCGATCGCCCTTCCCTATGAAGTTCATGATCAATATTTACTTTCTTTTATTACACTCGCAAAATTTCATTTTCAAGTCTAATTTATGACTCATAAATAGTATTTGAATAGAGATCAAGCTAATACATAATTAATCTCAAGAAAGAAGTAAATACCTAGACGAGTCATAGCACAATGATAACTATCTTAACAAGTAAATTCTAGTTCATATTCACATAGACATGGAGGATACAACAAAACATTCAAATAAAACCATAAAAAAAATAGAGAGAAAAATATAAAACCAAAATTATTATGCCTTCTCAGGATGGTCCTAGATCTTGTTAGGTAAAGGTTATCTTCCAAAACATTTTTAAGATCTATTTATAGAAGTAGAAAAATTCTCAGATGAAATAACCAAATTTAAAATAAATCGGAAAAAATTATAATTGAATTGCATTGCCGCGAAGCGGTGGGTATCGTTGGGCATCATGCGACATGCCTTTTGGCAAATAACAATTTTTGCTAGCTATTTTTTGTAATTCTTGCCTTCATGATTTGTCGAGTGTCCAGGTAAGTGTTCTCATTGTAATTGTAATGTCTTGTTGTATATATATTTGATTGTATGTAAATATTAATATAATATTATATTTAATTCATTAAGTTGTCTGCTTCATTTACTTATATGATTTTTCATCTTTTATTCGTTATGCTCCAAATCTCTTTAATTTTTCGTTGTTTTAATTTTACACATCAAAATACCTAACACAAACATAATTCATAAATTTAATGCTCAAAGAGATAATAAAAAAAATATCTAAAGATACAATTTTTTTGGCATCACATCACTAATCAGCCTCGAAATCAGGGATGACCTATGGCCACATAAAGTTCTCAAGTTAAATCTCAAGTAGCCTTTTCTTTTAAAATCTAGACAAGCCTTCTTTTAAGTTTATTCAAGAGATTTTCCCTATAAATAAACATTTGCACATGAGTAGAAGATATCTCATATTTCTTGCTTGTGACAATTTATCTCAAGTTCTATTGAGATATTGAGTCATACTTCCCTAAGGTCTTGGGAAATAAGTGGTAGATTTCCACTCATTTGAGACATTTCTAGTTCAACAAATGTCTTGAATGCCTAATTATGTCCTATTCTGATGATATTTTGATGTTTTGCAGCTATGAAGACTAAATGATTAGGCAACGATGAATACATGAAAAAGAGGCCAAAAACATTGAAAGGAGTATAAACTCTCAACTTGTAGTCGCTGATACATCCAAACTTACACTTCAATTAAGAAGTATAACGTCGAAGTCAATTTATAGAACTCAACGTGAGTTGAGGTCGATCCCACAAAGAATTTCTTTACATAAATGATTTCACTGTCGCGTTTATTCAAATGCGTTATTACTTCCTAGAGAAAGTAATTTTAGAATGTAAATTGGGTTTAGTTGAAAGATCAGAGTAACCAATAGTGTTGAGATAATCAGATATAGAACAATTAACAAAGTCTTGATTTTAAGGTTGTATTAATGAATGAATGAAACCAGGGTTGTGTTTCCCATGACGTTACATCTAGTATTTATTCATGAACGAGTTTCAGGTAATTTAGTCTTTGCAACTTTCAAATGAATTAAGTGTATCTAACAATTCTCAGTCTTGTTGGATAACTTTTCACTCAAATCCTCTCGGTATTAGAGTGTTAACAGATTTTACCCTCGGGTATAATGATATTGCAGTTCTCTTCTCTCAAACTCGAAATTTAACTCCATTTCATTAGTCTAACTCAACTTTTTCCCAACTATCAATTTTCTCTCGAACAATTTATAGATACATGCTAATTCTAACACGTGCACTCATTAGAACAAATTAATAACGAAAGTTGAGTTATATATTGCAAATATGAATCACATTCTACTCGTATTACGAATCCACACATAGAGTACATTCATAATTCCCACAACCCTAGTTGTGGTGTTTTGCCACTCATGCTTTCAATCAAACAAGAAAATATAGGTAATGATTGCATTAGAAGAAATCACTTACAACGATTTGCAGAGAACAAAATGATATTCAAAAACCAAAGCAAATTTAATTATCAATTCAATGCTAATCGATCAAAACCCAAAGTTAGAATATTTAGAAAGTAATCGCTCGTTCTAGATATGACGAGATAAAAACAAATTACGACCTAATAAATTCAAATAATCAATCGAAAAAGAGTCCTACTCGAAGTAGGACTAAAATGTCGGGCATCTTCACGGGCAGTACGACGACCCGTCAAGGGCTTCACGGTCTGTGAAGCCCTCCATGGTCATTACTTAATGCATCTTCAAACACACCTCTTCAAGTCTTGCACACTGGGACCACCACGAGAGACACCACATACCGTTACAATGATCACAGTTTGTCTGGGTTCCCGTGGTCTTCACTTGGCCAACTCAGACTTCAACTTCTCATGGTTTTCTCACTAGTTCAACTCTACGAGCACCATCACGTCCCTTCATGGGGATCACGGTCCATCAGGGCGTCTATGGTCCTTACTTATCATTGCCAAAGCTTATCTTCTTGAGGCCTTCTCACTGGAAATCCATTACGATTGCCATCACAGACCGTTGTTAAGACCACAACCCGTGAGGCCTTACATGGTCTTTACTTGGTCAAAATCAACTTTCACTCTGCACAGTCATGTTTAGTGGGCTTTCTTCACGAGCTTCAGGACAGACGTTGAGAGAGACCACGGCTCTTCCTGAGCTCCGTGGTAGTTGTTCTAGCCCGTATTTTCTTCTTTTCTTTTCTCTTTCACGTCCACATGTTTTACCTATACAAACATCACCAAACACATCATATCCACATAAATACTCTTGATTCTCGCATTAATCCTTAGTTTATAGCATTAAATGTGCTAAGATCTCACACACATCAGTCGCCTAACCAAAAGAGCAGATTTGCCAATACTCCTGACCTCACCCAAAGCGACAGTGTATTCAATTGAAAATATTCAAGATAGGTTGAGGGACTGAAGAAGAAATGGTGATTGGCCGAAGCTAAAAGGGAGAATTAGTATACCATCGTCGAAAATGATAGAATTATGTGCAAAAAATGAAAGATGAAAGGGCGAACAAGGTGTTACTCGATGATTTGCCGAATGTGAAAGGTAGACTCAATCGAGTTTGCGAACTGAGGTTCAGACACTTGAAGCCTGAAAAAAATAAAGAGTGAGCTAAGGAACAAATGGCGATCTGTCGAACATATTTGGCGAGCCCGACTAATGTCGCTGAGTTAATCACACATTGAATTTGAGAAGCTATAAATAATCCGGAAGAGAGAAAATGGAGGAATTTTTGGTATCACTCTTTGAATATCAGTTTAAGTGATAGTTTTGAGAGAATTAGTCTTTTTATTCTTAGTTTTTGGGGTTCTTAGAACAACCTTGTAATTGACAATTCAAGTTCACATTGAAGTGGGTTTTGAAGATTAATGCTTAATTTCAC